CATCCCCACCCCCACCCCAAGGATACTCCACTCTGCAACCCTCATTCCGAGTATATTCTTAAAAGGAAGAAACTATTCATTGGCAATTGTTGGAATGTGCTATAACCCTAGGTTGGAACGTGCTATTAAAAGTTAAGAGGGACATAGCCAAGAGAATCTCTCGAGGTTTTTAAATTACTTTTCATTTTTAATTTCATACTGCTGTTCCTAGTAACTATGCGATTTCATTTCCTAATGAAAAACTGAAAAGCTTTGATGAGAATGAATTTATTGGCACTCTAATCAGACATACTCTTTCCAGGTTACTTGCCATTGGCCACAGTTTGGGCTAGTTGACTCCTGTCTTTTCCTTCTCCTTTTCCTCATTCGCCAGCCCTCCTTCTCTGCCTGAATGAGCTCTCATTCTTTGAAGACTTGCTCCAATGTCTCCCACTTTGGGTATCTTTCAAAACTCTAGAAAAGATGATTTTTCTTTCTTCATACTTTCATTTACTATGTGCATATCTATATTGTTCCTCTTCCAATGTTTGTTTTTTAAATTTTTTTTTTCTTCCAATGTTTTAATGACAGTTGTTTTGTTGGTTGTCTCTCAAAGCAGACATATTATCTTCATTAATCTCTCTGTTCCTGTATCCAACACAATGTGTGCCACATAGTGAAGCCAAATAAATAACTGAATTCTTGAATGACCCTGTGCATTATTATTATGAATATAAATGAAGTTTAGCTGCTAAGACCTTTTAGAGCAAAAAAGGCTTTAGGATAATATATTTATCTTTTCTATCACAATTAACTAGGAACTAAATAAGTATTTACAGCATCATGACTTCGTAAATGTGAGAAAAAAAGAAATGCTACATAAAAGATGGATTGACCACGTGGCAGATCCTCTGCAGAAGAAAATTTTAGAAAATGTCCATTCATATGAGACGATTAGAAAAAGGAGAGAAGAGGAAATAGAGAACTTTTTAAAATACGTAAATAAAAAGGTACTACAGTTATTTGCCTCTTCAGTTGGCTTAAATAAGTTCTCTTTGTTTATAATCATCCAAACAGCCTGCTCCTCCCTCTTTACATAACTATATATATATTTTCTATACCTTATCGAAGCATGTTGTTGTTGTTATGTGCTGTCGAGTCGCTTGTGACTCATTGCAACCCTGTGTACAACAGCCCTAAACTCTATTCTGTGCCAACCTTATTGTCTCTGACATACCTACCCCCACACACCAGCCACTGAATCAATCCATCTCATTGAGGGTCTTCCTCTCTTGCACTGTCCCTCTACCCTCCCAAGCATGATGTTCCCTCTAAGGACTGGTCCCTTCTTGCAACATGACCAAAGTACATCAGATGAAGCTTCAGAATCCTTTCTTCTAAGGAGCAGCCTTGTTTCACACACTCTAGGATGAACCTGTTTCTTCTTCTGGCAGTCCATGGTATATTCAACACTCTTCTTCAGCACCACAGCTCAAAGGTATCAATTATCCTTCTATCATCCCTAATTGTTGTCCAGCTTCCTGATAAATCGCAAGTAATTGCAAAGAATATGGCCTGAATCAGGCACACCTTAGTCTCCAGATTGATTTTTCCAATGTAATTAATCTTTTAATTTCTTGAGTGCTGGTACAAAGAGTGTTGATTGTGGAGCCAGGCAAACTGAAGCTGTTAACAATCTCAATTCTTTATCATCCATCATGATGCTGCCAATTGGCCCAGTGGTGAGAATCTTTGTTTTCTTGATGTTGAGCTTCAATCTATATTGAAGGCTGCAGTCCTTGATCTTCAGCAACAAATGCCTCAGGTCCTCCTCAGTTTCAGCAAGCAGGGTTGCATAACTCAGGTTGTTGATAAATCTTCCGCCAATCCTGATGCCACATTCCTCCTCATAGAGCCCAGATGCCCAGATGATCTGTTCTACACAGGAGATTGAAAAGGTATGGAGATAGGACATATCCCTGGTGTACACTCTTGCCAATTTTGAACCATGCAGTATTTCCTTGTTCAGTACTGACGTCTCCCTCCTGGTCCAAGTATAGGTTTCACATAAGCACATCCAAGTGTTCTGGGATTCCCATTCTTAAAGTGAGCCAGAGTTTGTTGTGGTCCACACAGTTGAATGTCTTTGCATAGTCAATGAAACACAGATAAATATTCCTCTGGGACTCATCGTCCTTTAATCAAGGGCATGTGGAAGGAAGAGAGGAACAAATTTAAGCCTGGATTTAAGTATGTACATTGTTGTTATGTGCTGTTTAGCAGGAATTGAAAGTCAATATAGCTAACTTTCCAGGAGGTTTTCAGAGGCAATAAATTGCATGAGAGGAGACTTCCTATTTTTCTCTCGTGGAGTAGCTGGAGGATTAGAACAGCTTGACTTTGAGTTCTCAATGCAACTCTTTACCATCAAGTCACCAGAGCTTCTCAAATACATGCATTATGAAAAATTTTTCCTTTGTTTTCCACCATGTAATTTTTTTTGTTTGTATTTAATGTTATTATTTAATGTTTACTTTCTGTTGGAATATAACATGAATTCAGTACATAAAGCTTAATGAATTTTTACTTGAGTGCATAGCCGTGTAGTTAGCAAGTAGATCAAGATACTGAGTATGTCTAGCACTGCAACCGCATCCACCCAGAGCTAAATATTAGTCAGAATTCTGTAGCCGTTTCTTCTTCCACTTCATGTAGCATCTCTAGGAAGTGGAAACTTCTAATGCCCTAGGATATTAACTAGAAGGTTGCAGGTTTGGATCGATCTGAGTTGCCTTGGAAGAAGGACCTGTTGTTATTTTACTTATGAAACATCAGCCACTGAAAATCCTATTTTTACACATACCATTAATTGTGTCTACCAATCTTTAGTAGTAGATTTGGCTCTATGAGGAGAAATGTGGTATCAGGTTTGGTCGACGGTCTATCAACAATCTGCTTTATGCAGATGACACAACCCTGCTTGCTGAAACTGAGGAGGACCTGAAGCACTTGCTGAAGAGGGTCAAGGACTGCAGCCTCCGATAGGGATTGAGGCTCAATGTCAAGAAGACAAAGATTCTCACCACTGGACTAATTGGCAACATCAGGATGGATGGTGAAGAGATTGAGATTGTTCACAGCTTTAGTCTGCTTGGCTCCACAATCAACACTCTTAGCACCAGTAGCCAGGAAATTAGAAGACGTATTGCCATGGGAAAGTCTGCTGTTAGGGACCTCTCCAAAGTACTGAAGAGCAATGGTGTCTCTCTGGAGACTAAGGTGCGTCTGATACAGGCCACGGTCTTTACAATCACTTGTTATGCATCAGAGAGTTGGACATGATCAAAGAGGATAGAAGGAGAATTGATGCCTTTGAGCTGTGGTGCTGCAGAAGAATATTGAGAGTTCCATGGACTGCTAGGAAATCAAACAGATTCATCCTGGAAAGGGTTAAACTGGGCAGCTACTTGGAGTCAAGGATCCTGAGGCTCTGTCTAACATACTTTGGACATGTTGTAAGGAGGGACCGGTCCTTGGAGAGGGACGTCATCCTTGGTAGGGTGGAGGGACAGTGCAGGAGAGGAAGGCCCTCTATGAGGTGGATTGATTCAGTGACTGGGGTAATCGGGATGGGTTTGTCAGAGACAGTGCGATTGGCACAGGGCAGAGCAGAGTTTAGGGCTGTTGTACATAGGGTCGCTATGAGTCACAATCGACTCAACAGCACATAACAACCATAACCACAACAACCAGTCTTTAAAATCTGGACTCTAGGTTCAGGATATATTTTTATTTTGTTACACAATTATTTACAAAGCTAAATATTTCTGTCCTGGTAATTTTAAGAGATCTGAGATGTCTACCTAGTAAATATCTAAAAACAAATTCCCTAATTTTACAAATATTTAGAGGATTTCGCCCCATCACTAAAATGTTAATTGCTTGTTTAATGAAAATAAAATTAAAATTTGGTCTTTCCCTTTTTGCATATATTATTGATACTAATTTGAAGTTTAATAATAGTGTGTTTGATTCTTGAGTTTTGCATTGCTCAAAATTAACAGTGCACTGTCTGTTGTCATGCTTTTGTTTTTTTCCCTATAGGGAATTGCATCTTTAGACCAGTTTGATCCAAAAGAGTATGATCCTTTTCACGCGAGCAGAAAGGACCCTAATTTTCTGAAGGTAGAGTAAATTAACTTTTGATAGTATGGGTTTTTTATTTGTTTGTTTTGTTTTTAAAGGTAAAAGCAAAGATAGTTTATTAGAAAAGATATGTCTCAGAGAGACAGACTCTCTGAGACAGGTCCACCTCTGGAAATAAAGAAACGGAAAAAGACAAATAGTATGAGTTTTGTTGTTTTGAGTAGTCCTATAGTATTTTCCTGAGAATGTAGTAACATCTTAAGAGTAACTCTTATCTTCACATTTCAGAAAGCAACAACAACAAAAAAACCCAAACAAAATGTTATATAGCAATTATGTAATAACAATTTAAATTTTTCATGGACTTTACATTTTGTTATGAAAGTCTTATCTTTTAATACTCAGTAAATGAGAAAATTTATTTATAAACAAAGGAAAATTTAAAAATCTTTGTTTCTTACATTACACAGAATTAACACACTGATAACATTTTCTGTGTATCTTTCTAGACATCTTTCTGTATGTATGCATATAACTTTTTATTTTATAGAAATTAGATATTAAACATTTACTTTTATAACGTTTTTCTCTTCTCTTCTGCTTTCTGTGTTGTTGTTTTATGTGCCATTGAGTTGCCCTAGGTAAAACAGCTCTGAATCCTGCCCTGTCCTGAGCCAGTCTCACTGACCCCGATACACCTACTCCAATTGCCCTAGTCACTGTATCAATCCATCTCATCCAGGGTCTTCCTCTCCTGCACTATCCCCCTCCCCTCTTCTGAACATGATATCCTTTTCCAAGGATTGGTCCCTCCTGGCCACGTGCCCAAAGTATGTGAGACATAGCTTCAAAATCCTAGTCTCCAAGAAGAAACTTGGTTTCATCCTCTCCAAGACAGACCTATTGGTTTTCTTGGTGATCAATTGTATGTTCAAAACTCTTCTCCAGCACAACATTGTGAGGTGCAAGACATCACAGAAGTGACTTGTGGCCTAAGCCATTGTATCAAAGGGTTGCTGCAGAAGTGAGGAGGGAGGTGCTGGATGGAGTAGGAGGGAGTGCAAATGATGCTAATATTAGGGGAAGGGAAGGAACAATACACACATGCAGGGGGAGGGCACAGCATATATGTAAGGGGAAATGTCTTTCATTTTCTCCTTTCACTAAAATGCTTGTCTTTTTTATGTTAATAAACAGAAATATTTCATTTTAACCATTACACAGTATTTTATTGATAGTAGATACCTTGCATAGAAGGCTTAACTGGTAGGCCTTTTACCTGCCCACTACTTTATTTTAGGTTTACTATTCCTACATGAGCTAACTCTATATAAGTGAGGCATAAGATAGATAGGTTCAGGTACTTGTGCTGTAGGTAACAGAACATTGATGCATTTATAACTACTTATAGTATTATACTATCATATTTTCTGACCAACTTCCTCTTTTGGTTGTTTTTAACTTGCTACTATTATAAATGATACTATAATGAATAAAATATCTCCTCCATGTATATTTCTTAATTTTTAACTTTTATATTTTATTAGAAGTAGAATTGATGGGCTAATGGGTATGTATGATTTTGATTTATATTGCCAAATTGTTCTTCAGGCATGTAGTTTCTGTTAGATGTTATTGCATCAGTTCCAACTCATAGCCTCCCCTCTCCACCCTGTGTGAAACAGAAATGAAGCACTGACTGATTCTGTGCCATGATCATAGCGAGATTTGGCCCTATTGTTGAAACTACTGTGTCAGTCCATCTCCTTGAAGAGCTATCATGGCTTAGTGGTAAGAAGCTATGCTGCAATCCCAAAGGCACAGGATTCAAATCCACCAGCTGTTCTGTGGGAGTAATATGGACAGTCTTCTCCCATGTAATTTATAGCCTCTGAAAAACCACTGGAGGGTAGTAGTGAGTTGGTCCTGACTCAATAGCACACAACCTCAACAACAATTCTACAAAGCATGGTGTCCTTTACCAGAGAGTGGTCCTTTCTGATAACGTGTTCAAAGTACATGATACAAGTCTTATCATCTCCTCTTCTAATGAGCATCTTGTCTGTACTTCTTTCAAGACAGGGTTGTTTTTTCTTCTGACAAAAACAAAACAAAAAAACCATATCAAGCCCATGTCCATCATGTTCAGCGACTCCACACATGCCATCAGACCCCCTTGTTTTGTTCTTCTGTCAGTCCATAGTATATGTAGTGTTCCTTGCCAAAGCCACAAGTCAAAGGTATTAATTTTTCTTCGGTCTTCTTTATTGTACAGTTTTAACGTACAAAAGAGGTGATTAACAAGCCCAAAGCTTGGATCAGACACACCTTAATCCTCAGTATGACTGTTTTGTATTTTCACATTTTAAAGAGGGCTTTAGCTTTAATTCCTACCAGTCCATGTACTTTTGCTAGGAACACATATTATTAAACAGAATAAAATGTGTACTTGTTTCATAAACAATTTAAATTGGACATTTTTATAGGAATTATAGGTCTTCCCCCCCTTTAATGTGTACGTGTGTGTGTGTGTGTGTGTGTGTGTGTGTGTGTGTGTGTGTGGTGTTGGCCCTATTTTTATAGATAAGAATTAAACTGAGTCTTAGAGGTAACTAACTAGTACTAGAGTTATTAAGGAGTAGACTTGGAATTGAACTCTATTCTCTTAGGATGCTACCTTTCTAAATGGATTTTATATTTGGCCTGAGCATTTTAGGTTTTAGCAGCAGTTCACTAAGTCAGTTACAAAGACTCTTGACATCTCCAAGACCCTTTAATGGGATACATTAATCTAAAGCTTTTTAAATTATATCAAATATTCTTTACCTTTTTCATTGTGTTTACATTTACAATGATGATGCAAAAGCAATGGTGGGTCAACCTGCTGCTGCTGTAGAATAACTTAAGTCAGTGTTAGAAAATTGTACTGTTAGACATTATTCTCTTCACTGCTATGTACTTGCAGTTTAAAAAATGGAGTTTACTTCAAGAATTTTACTGATGAAGCAGTAAAAATTACTAATTTTATTTACTCTTGCCACTTGAATCTGTGCCTCTTAAATATTCTGTGTGGCAAAATGCTAAGTATTTATAAGACACTTCTACTAAATACTGAAATACGGATAGGCCAGTCAAGCAACAGAGTACGAAAAATTCATTGATAGGTTTCAGATTCCACATCTGTGAAAAGTCTGTATATACCTATGTTTTTATATTGTATATATCCAGCAAAACCAAGTCCTGGCTATTATTGAAAAGATGTATAGGTAACCTGTTCAGCTTGTGGTGAAATTTTCCTGACTAAGCTAGACTCTTGCATCTTGATGAGGGTTGGGTGTGAAACGTTTGTTTGGGGGGTTTTTTGGTCATTGGTTTTTTTTTTTTTTCTTTTCTGTTTTTGTCTACAATCAGTGTCAGCTGATTAGATTTTCCAGACTTAACTAACAATGAGCTGTGTGCTGGAAGTCTCTTGGTTTATAATCAACCAACACTTGGTAATGTGCCTGTATTTAAAAGGTGGTAGTGCTGGACTAAGTCTGCAGTGGAGGCTCCTGTGTAGTGGTTGGATTCTGGAAGATGGTTTCTCGCATCTTGATGATGGTCCGGTGTGAAATGTTAGTTGGTTTTGGGAAGAACGTTCTTTTAAGTGGTATAGCAGTGGTCTGTTTATTTGCTGTACTGTAACTTGGGTTGCTGTGATACTGAATGCTGTGCCATAGGTGTGTCAAACATCATAATGGTTACCCATCATGGACAGTATTTGGTGGAGTTCTCTGATTGAGTCAGGTTTGGAAGCAGGAGTGGCATCCACTTCCTAAACCACATGCCTCTGGAAACTCTATGAATATAGAGAAATAATGATAGTTCTAGAACACGGTTTAGATCTTTTGTTCATAGTGTTGCTAGGACTTATATTTAACTCGGTGTCACTTAACAACAACATCAGGCTAGACTATGAAAGAGTACTGTTGATGGATATATGCCTATGTAGAAACAGTATTTTGACATTGATAACATTAATCGTTAAAATAGATGTAGAGTTGAGGGCTCATTACTTAGGGAATCACTGAGAAGGAAGTAGACAGTGGTGATGGCTTAATAATATAATGAATATTAATAGTGTTTCTGAACTGCACACAAAAAATGTTAAAATGGCAAATGTTTTGTGACTGAAAAACAGAAAATAGGACGTAGGGGCAGAGGACTGTGAGCACCTGTCTGAAAGGACCAGTTGTTGTCATGTGCTTTTGAGTTGCCTGTGACACATAGTGACCCTCTGTACAGCAGCCCTAAACCCTGCTCTATCCTGTGCCAATATTATTGTCTCTGATACACCTACGCCCATTATACCAGTCGCTGAATCAAGTAATCTCATCTAGAGTCTTCTTCTCTTGCTCTGTCCCTCCACCCTCCCAGGCATGACATCCCTCTCCAAGGACGGGTCCCTCCTTGAAACATATCCAAAGTATGTCAGATAAAGCCTCAGAATATTTGCCTCCAAGGAGCATCCTGGGTTTAACCCTCTCCAGAAAGAAACTATTCATTCTCTAGCAGTACATGGTATATTCAACATCCTTCTCCAACACCACAGCTCAAAGGCTTCAATTCTCCTTCTGTCATCCCTAGTCATTCTCTAGCTCTCTGATGCATAGAAAGTAATGGCAAAAACCATGGCCTGTATCTGGGGCATCTCAGTTTCCAGACTGACATCATTGCTCTTCAGTATTTTGGAGAGGTCTCTGACAGCTGACTTTCCCAATGCAATTCATCTTTCAATTTCCTGAGTGCTGGTCTCAATAGTGTTGATTGTGGAGTCAAGCAAACTAAAGCTGTTAACAGTTTCAATCTCTTCATCATCCATCACGATGTTGCCAGTCGGTCCAGTGGTGACAATCTTTGTTTTCTTTATATTGAGCTGAATTCAATCCATACCAAAGGCTGCAGACTTTGACCTTCTGCAACAAGTGCTTCAGGTCCTCCTCGGTTTCAGCAAGCAGTGTTGTGCCATCTGCATAGTGCAGATTGTTGATGAATCTACCTCCAATCCTGATGCCACATTTCTCTTCATAGAGCCCAGCCTCCCAGGTAATCTGTTCTGCATATAGATTGAAAAGGTATGGAGATGGGATACATCTCTGGAGTATATCTTACCCAATTTTGAGCTGTGCAGTGTTTCCTTGGTCCATTCTGATGACTGCCTCCTGGTCCAAGTATAGGTTTTGCATAAACAAGGCCTCAGGAGTTGATGGTATACCAGCTGATAATATTCCAACAAACAGATGCTACCCTAGATGTGCTCACCAAGTTGTGCCAAGAAATCTGGAGGACAACCACCTGGCCAGCTTACTACTGCAAGAGATCTAAATTTGTTCTCATTCCAAAGAAAGGTGATCTAGCAAAGTGTGCAAATTATTCAACAATATCATTAATATCACATGCAGGCAAGATTCTGCTGAAGATTATCCAAAAAAGACTGGAACAGCACATCAGCAGAGAACTACCAGAAGTCCAGGCTGGGTTTAGAAGGGGTTGTGGTACTAGGGATATTGTAGCTAATGTTAGATGGATCTTGGCTGAAAGCAGGAAGTCCAGAGGAATGTCTGTTTTTCATTGACTATGCAAAGGCGTTTGACTGTGTGGACCACAACAAACTGTGCCTAACTCTGAGAAGAATGAGAATCCCAGCACAATTGAGGGAATGAAAATAGCATAGCCCCTCACTTCCCCAGAGCAGAAAGCAGATAAAGAGCCCATAGCCAGCCCCATGGTGCCTCAAGAGGTATATCAGTAGCAAGAGGTTCGCTTACTCATTGTTGACTCACAGACTTTCCTCACAGTTGTGGTACCATGAGTGGTGTTTAGGCTGGGGAGTGGGAGAGGAAAAGAATATCCCACAATACATATCCAGGTTTTGCTTAGCAGTCTCATGCCAGATTAACAGCAAACCAGAAGTCCTTAATTAAGTCCTGGTTTCAGGTCAGCAACACATATTCAAGAAGTTTCTGGTTTCTTCAATCATACAGCAAGGTTAGCCTCAGAGCAGTTATAAGTCAGCTTCTCCTTCAAGCATCTGGCAAGAATAGCAAACCCTTTAACTGTGGTCAGCATAAAAGCAAGAATCCTCAGGTCACACCTTGCCACAGTTTCTCCACAGCAATGCCACAATCTCTCCACCACCATCACCAGGGTCTTAATTTTACCAGGGTTTCACTCCTTCCAGGATCTCACTCTTACCAGCGTCTTACTTCAGTCTCTCTCAAGTCTTGCTGCCCAGTGTGGGAAGCATTCTCTCTTTTTATCCTAATCCCACAGCTGTTAATGATTTGCAAGACCAGGTGTCTGCTGTCAAGGTAGTTGGAGACCAGTGCAGGCTAATGTAATGGCTAAAAATTGCTAACTTTAGGCTAACATTGCATAGATGGATAGATAGATAGATGATAGATAGATAGATCTCTCTCTCTCTCTCTCTCTCTCTCTCTCTCTCTCTCTCTTTCTCTCTCTCCCCTATCTATTAAGGGTAGGCTGAAAAAGTCTAATACTCAGACCTGCAACCTAAACACCAAAAATGCACTTCTCTTACAGGTTTTTGTCCCACCATTCTGTGACCCTTTGAAAAAGGCACAATCTAACAAGGATGAAGAAAGGAGAACACTTCTTCAGTGTGAGACTGGTACATAGTACCTGCTAATTGTTGTGTGCTTTCATGGCCTGTCTAGAATAACTGGAATTGCATTTAAGAGTGCTAATTTAGACTGTTAATCTTCCTTCAGGCAAAATATATACAATGAAAGAATTCAAAGAGGTGGAGAATGCCATCCTGTATTCCAGGTTCCCAAGAATTTCTAACTCCAGGCAATTTCTGACTCCAGATGATTGGCTTAAACTGTCAGCAAGTTACATAGAAAGTGAATTTTCTAAAAGGAGAAGGTAATGGTCAATATAAAAGAGATTACGGAACCTTTCAGAGTTTTAAAATGGCTTCTTGTAGTGATATGAAATCTGTCATAAGATTTTTTTTCCGTATGTCATAAGATTTTTAAAACCATTAGTTTAACGAGAACTCTATTGTAAGATTATCTCTTTCTTTTTGGATTTGAGTAGTTAGACCATTATGTGTGTAAGGGTTTTTTTCTTTTTGGTTCTTGTTCTTTCTTATTTACCTACATAGAGGTTATTGTATGTTATTCTTGGATTTATGGTAATGTCTTTCATGGTTTGGGGAATTCTGCACCTTTACATCAAGTTATCTCTTCTGTCCTGTTCTTTCTTCCTTTCTTTTTTACCTGTCCTCCAATTATATGTGTATGTTAGACCATGATTATTCTCACAGTCCATACCTCTTGAACATTTTGTTATACTTTTTATGACATTCTTCCTCCCCATTTATATAACACTGAATAATTTCTACTGACTTATCTTAATGTTCCTTGAGTCTTCTTTCAGCTATGCCCATAATTGATGAACCCATCAGAGGAATTCTTCATCTCAGATATTATTTCTAGCATTTAAAATATTTTCTTCTATAATCTTCTAACTGTGCATACATGCATTCTACTTTGTCCATCAGATTCTTTAACATATTAATCATACTTATTTTAAATTTCCTACCTTATTAATTCTAACATTAGTCATTGCTAAGTCTTGTTCTATTGATTGGTTTATCTTTTGACAGATTGTGTTATCTTTTTTGTGGGCTTTGTAATTTTTTATAATTCCAGACACTGTATGTAAAAGAATAATATAGATTGAAGAAAACAGTATTTATGTCTAGAATTGGACACACTTCTAGCAAGCATTATTGTAGAAGATTGAGCTAATTTGGTCAGAAGTTGTTCTGGGTTTGTGTATTGCTATTGGAGAAAAGATTGAAACTGTCAGTGACTTCATCTTATGTAGATCCACAATCAGTACACTTTGTAAAAGTCAGGAAAACATATTGCACTGGGAAAGTTTGCAGTCAGGGCCCTCTTCAAATTATTGAGGCGCAATGATGCCAGTTTGAGGACTAAGGCCCACCTGATTCAGGCCATCATATTTTCTTTTTTTTTTTTTTTTCAATCACGTGCTATGCACTAAGAGCTGGAAATGAATAAAGATGCTAGAAAAATTATTGCCTTTAAGTAGTAGTATTGGAGAAGAATACTGAATATACCATGGACTGCAGTAAATCTCCCAGATATGTCTTGGGAAAGGTGCAACCAGAGTGTTCCTTAGAGTCAAAGATGATAAGGCTTCATCTCATACTTTGAGCATGTTGCTCATTGTTCGTTGTTGTGTGCCATCAAGTCAGAACTGACTCATAGCTGACCTTCCAGTTGGTTTTCTGAAGCTGTAAATCACAGAGGAAGAGACTGCCTATTCTTCCTCTGGGGAGCAGCTGATGGATACAAACCACATGACTTTCAGATTGCAGTCCAGTTTCTTACGACCAGGCCATCAGAGAGGCTATTCCTTGGAGAGAAACATCACGCTTATAAAAATGGAGGGACAGCAAAGGAGAGGAAGACCCTCAAATAGATGGATTGACACACTGATTGCAGTAATGGGCTTGAACGCATCAGAGATGGTAAGGATGGCACAGGATAGGACAGGGTTCAGATCTGTTGTTCATATGGTCGCTATAATAAGTCTTACTCAACTTTATGGCACCTAACAACAAAAACAACAGCATTGTTATCAATACCTTCAGGAAACTCTTGGCATAGGGAGTTGTACGGCTAACCCAAGGGTGGCAACTCTGGTGGTTTGAATCCATCAGAGGCTCTGTGAAAGACAGATGAATAATCTTTTTCCATTCAACTTACAAACTCCAAAAACCCACTAGAGGGTCAGCTCTCAGTTGGTTCTAACTCAATGGCGATGAGTTGATCTGAATTGCCAATACCTACAGTACACGAGAGTCTTCAAATTCCTCCAGTGGTGGACTACCGTTACCTTGTGCTTAAGCTGGGGACTGGAGTACCAGAAGGTTTGTCCTCAAATGTTCCTGCTTCCTCTTCTGTTTTCAGGTGTCCTCATATAATGGTATCAAAGAGTTGGAAGGAATTCTCCCTACATTCTTTCCTTTTTTTCAGAAGTAGATTGTTCCTGTTTGTTCTAGGCCCATAGTGGAGGCAATTTTGCCACTGATAGGGGTGGTTTTTCTGTTTTTTTTACAACCTTTGTTGATAGTACTTAGTGTTGGTCCATGAAAATATCTTAAACGCTGTTTGCATGTGACACCTGTAGCTATTCCAAACTGACAGGCTAGCCCACACTTGGTATTGAAGACTCATTAAAATTAGTTGATTTCTTTTTAAATAAATGGACTTTATTTTTCTTTTTTAGAGCAATTTAAATTTTACAGAAAATTGAAAATAAAGTGTAGAGAGTCCCATAGTCTACCCATACCCTTTCATTAACATCTTACATTAATGTGATACATTTATTACAATTGATGAGACATTGTTATCAACTAAAATCCATAGTTTGCATTGTTGTTATGTCCATCGAGTTGCCTTGGACTCATAGTGACCCTGTGTACTGAAGCCTGCCGTATCTGGAGCTAGTCTTACTATCTTTGACATGCCTACCTCCATTGCTCCAGTTACTGTGTCAATCCACCTCATCCATGATATTCTTCTCTTTTTGTGTTGTCTAACGCTAGGAGTTTTATCAAACGCATAATGTCAAGCATTCCCCATTATATACAGAATTGTTGTGGTTATGTGCTGTTGAGTTGAAATGAACTCATAACTGATCCTCCAGCGGTATTTCAAAGGCTATAAATTGCACAAGGGGAGATTGCTCGTTTTTCTCCCCGGAAAAGCTTATGGATACCATAACTCTTTATTTATTAGGTCACCTGTCTATTATATATTTCTGTGCTCCATCTATTCATTGTTCTCTCCCTTCCTTCTCTCAAACCTGTAGAAATCACTAATATTTTTTATGGTAGTTTTGCCTTTTGCCAGTCTGATTTCTGCCCCCCATGACTACTTTTGGTCTCTATTATTCTGTAGTTTCATTTTGTAAGTATGGGTTTCTTTTCATTTAACCTACAAGTGTATATTATACTTGGATATCTGTATTCATGTTTTACATCAGGAGTGATCTCTTCAAAGAATGCATTTTCCCCATTCTTTACTTCTGAGTTCAGATTAGACAAATGTTTGTTAGGTGTCATTGAGTTGAGTATTACTCAAAGTGACCCTATGTACAACAGATCTGACCCTTGTCCTATTCTATGCCATCCTTGTTGTCTTTGTTGTGTACTATTGACCTGGAACTGACCAATAGCTGATCCTTCAGTGGGTTTTCAAAAATAAATCACACAAGAGGAGTCTGTCCATCTTTCTCCTGCAGAGCAGCTGGTGAATTAGAACCTTGTTCCTTTGCATTAACAACACAGTTCACCTAGTGGTAAGATGCTGTGCTTCAATCCTAAAGACATGTGGTTCAAATCCATCAGCTGCTTTATGGGAGAAGGATGGGCAGTCTCCTCCTGTGCAATTTACTGCCTCTGAAAACCCACTGGAGGATCAGCTATGGGTCAGTATACTAGTTTTTCACTGTGTTGAATAGTAAGGAGCTCTATGCTGTAGAGCATTGCATATTGGGCTACTAAGGTCAGTGGTTTGAGTCTACAAGCTGCTCTGAGAGAGGAAACTGGACAGTCTCTTCCCGTAAAGATGCACATTCTCAGAAACTTGATGGCAGGTTGTGACGAGCTGGAATTGACACAGTGGCACAATGGGTTTGGTTTTGCTTTTTGGGTGTTGAATATTAAAATATTTATTCCTTTTCTTAACAGAACAAATAATATAATTTTATTAAAGAAGCTCCATTTTTAAATTTAGCTTTCTGACTTTGTGTTTGTGCCTTCAATACTTTCATAACAATTTTCTGCTCCTCAGTAAAGAAAGCACAGTTGATCCTATCATGGACACATGGAGCCACCATAAGCTCTGTTGATATGTTTTGAGTTTTTTGTTTGTTTGGTTTTGTTTTTTTTCTACAACCTCATGAGAACTTTAAGTCTTACAGTACATCCTCCACTTAATTGGCTTAAGCACACACCACATTCAGATTTTGGTACTTTCCCAAATTCTTGCTATAAAGGTGAATACTTCTATTACCAGGGGTTTGGAACAACTTAGCTTTGTTAGAGGCTATATTGTAGGACAGCCTACAATAGGTCAGATGTGGAAACATTTTGAATGCCTCAATACAGCATCAACTAAAATTTTTATTTCTTAAAAATTTTTTAAAAGTATCTTTTGGAGGCAAAGATGATAAAACTTTGTCTTGCATGCTTTGGATATGTTGTTAGGAGAGGCTATTCCTTGGAGAGGGACATCATGCTGGATAAGGTTGGAGGGACACCAAAGGAGAGCAAGACCATCAACCAAGTGGATTAACATAGTGATTGCAGTAGTGGGCTCTAGTGTGTCAGAGATTGTGAGGATGGCATAGGATATGGCAGGATTCAGATTGTAAAAAGAGCAAAGGCCATGTGGGGATGGCTATGCCTGAACTTGACTGACTTCACAAAGGGGAATTGTCCCCATCACCAGCATCAGTAACACAAAACCAATTCCCATGAAGTTAGACATGCCCTCCACTTCCCCATACCTCTTTCTACTACTTTAAAAATCAATCTTACGGCTTTGCTGGGACCAAAATCTGATGCAATAGCTCACAGACCACACAGAACCATTTTGGGGTGGACTAAAGGTTATAATCAAGATTAGTATCGGAATATAGTAAGGACAGCTTCTGGAATGTGCACAAAGGCATCTCAGCCTCGAGTCTCACAGCTTTAGACCAGTGTAACACAGTTCTTAGTTCTGCTGATATTAGATCTCCTCCTCAGTCTTAGCCAGTGTTGTAAAGTTCTCAGTCTCATGAATAAAGGCCCCCAAATCCTAGTTGTCCAGCAAACATGT